TGTTATTGACAATTTTGCAAAATTTAATTCAAAATTGTCCCCTAAGTTTTAAACTTAGCACTCTTGGGAGTGAATGGGTTAAATTGAAGGTGATTTGAAAAAAAGGACGCAATGCAGTAAGGAGGATATTATTGTTGATCTTGGGTATATTAAAAAGGATTGCAGCCAGATGGCCAGTCTATATAGAGAGAGCAAATTCTTAATAAAGACAAGCAACACGCTGTAAAATTGCACGTTATTTCTATTTCCTTCTGCTCAAGGCTCCGACATCACGTTACTCGAACTGACCAATCAGGTAGCGCTCTTAAAATAGCTCAGCTATGGACTGAAAGTTAAAAATAGACGTCCAAAAATTGATCATTGGAAGAGACCCGTGTATGGGGGAATGCTTCTGTTAGATCATCCTCTCTTGTAACCACCTAATTTAGTATCCATCTTTTAATCATTAATTTAAAGGAACTACATGTTCGACATGCAACTGAAAAGCTCTCAGGTAATTTCCTTACCGCAATTAGCCCACTTTCCGTACACTGGATCCAATGAACACCATGGTCTATTATGTTTGTATGTGGTACAGGAGTGGTAAGTTTTGCCTTTATACGTGAAAGGAAAAGCGCAGCAACGACCATCTTTGTTATCAGTCCTCTGTCGACAGATCGCTGTAAAGAAACAGAAAGAAGCAGAAATAGAAACGTTTAAGGACACAAATTAGTAACATGGTATTCTTGAATCTGGTGGGAAGTGAGGTGACCCAATGGTTAGCGCGTTGGACTCAGGATCGAGCGGTCCGGGTTCGAGCGCTGGCCTGGGTTATGTTGTGTTCTTGGGCAAGACACTTTACTCTCACAGTGCCTCTCTCCACCCAGAGATATAAATGGGTACAGGCAAACTGTTAGGGAAACCTGCCAAAATGCTGGGGGGTAACCTGGCGTTGGATAGCATCAGACTCAGAGGGAGAAACAATACTCCTAGTCGGCTTTACCCTACTCACCAAAGTCGGGATACGCTCCGGCAGAGTGACCTATTCATGAACCTACAGAACGCCGATTATGCAGAACGTAAACTACTCTACTAAATCAGAGAAAGGTAAGGTAAATGTGGAAGGTGGGTCTTTAGTAGAAACTTTTCAGAGGCTACTACGTCAAGATTCCGGCGCTTGACCCAAATTTCGGTAGGATGAAGCGAATAGGAATGTTGCTACCTCCCCTGGATGGGATGTTAGTCCACCTCCCCCCTCCCCCCACAGCCCCCCTCCCCCAGCATTTTTGTCAGGTTCTTCGACAATTTACCGCCAGCCATTTATACTCCTGGGTGGGGTGCGAGGCACTGTGAGAAGTATCTTAGCCAAGAACACAACACGATACAACGACCTCCTCTTATGGTTTTAGGACAAAGTAATTGTAGTTAGCTACAGTCCAAGCTCCCGTAAGCGGACACCTTCGCGAAGCAGAAAAAGTGTCCGCAAATGGAGCTGGCCGCTTACGGGAATGCGTAAATACAGAGTTTGTATGAGCTAGAGTTCAAACGGTACCTTGTTCACAGTTCTTTCCCTTGTACCAAGATGGGCATGAACATTGGTAGTCCTCGCCGACTGGCTTACACGTTCCACCATTCTTACAAGGGTTCCCGGCCTTGCATTTGTCTGTAAAATGACATTTTCAAGTTAAGTCAAACCCAGACTTGAAAATAAACACAAATCTACCTGTGCTAGTTCTTAGCCAAGACTGATACAAGACATCTTAATGGTGATACACATATGAACTACGTTACGGATATAGCATCTTAAAAAGTTAGCCTAAAAGTTCGTAGTTTGTAATCGGACGCAATCTTCTTTATTAATCTTTGCTCCTTTTTGGTTGACTACTGCCTCTGATGTTTCTCTACCTTAGAAAACTACCAGATTGAGTTTCCTTCGTTTTGACGACAAAGCTGCACCTCAAAGAAAACAACGCATTTATACTCCAGAAAATAACAAGCATAGATTAAAGGGACACTGTCCCGGCGTATTTGCTCAAAACTGTTATAAATGCACGAAATGGTCCCTATATCTATGAAATAAGAACTTAATAAACTCTAACTAAATGATAAAAAGCAATTTCTTCAAAAAATTCCATACTGTAACAAAAATTTTGCAAAATTTCAAAGATTTCCGAGCCAAATTTGAAACTTTGAAAAACTGACATCCTGACAGTTTTTCAAAAATCCATATGACAATCCATTTCCATCCTCGCTGTCGTTTGTCATCCTCACTTCCTAATGGGTTCCTGTCATTTGTCGAGTGCTATTCTACAGAATCAAACCATTATTGTTCAACTTCCTATGATCTAGATATGTTTCTGAGCTTCCCAAAATCATGGTAAAATCAGGACAGTGTCCCTTTAAAGCCGATCTCATTCTCTTTTGTTCCTTCAACCGCAGTCGACATATATGATTTATTTCATACATTTATCATCTGTTATTCGTTACTTGATGGGTGCAGTCAACTCTCTCTCTCAACGGGCACCCCTATAGGACGGACACCTCTGTAAGACGGACACCTGGCGTTAGCCCCTGCGAGCCGTTTTTCAGTCATTTTGCTGTATCTAAACTCTCCATAAGCCGAACACCTCTCTAAGACGGACAGTTGGTGCAGGTCCTGATGGTGTCTTTCTTATAGAGAGTTGACTGTATAGATAGGACTCGTAGCTGACCAGCTTCCAGTGGCTTCATAGCTCAGGTGTTTGCACTGAGATCGCAAAGGTCATGGGTTGGAATCCCGTTGGAGACATAATTCATTTTATTTTAGGCTTTCTTTTCAATTGCGAAGATCAAATTCTCTTTCGTTACTTCAACCACAGTTCACATACACCTATTTCAATTAACGTTGTCGGATAAAAATCGGATAAAAGCGTAAAGCCTACAAGACAAGACCAAATGGTAGTATGGGTATTCATTAGAATTTGCATATTGCTGGAAAAGACATCTACACGTTTTTATTTCGCACGTGATGTATTTGGTTTTCCCCGAATTATATAATTTATTTTTCCATGTTTTTTCGCTAGCTTATTCTGCTAAAATTTAGTTTGGCTAAAAGTAGCTTACTTCTACAGGCTTAAAACAAAAAGGAAACGTTATAAATAATGTTTTACATGTTACTTCTCATTAGTATTCGGTGCGTGCAGCAGTTTTCTACTTTTACCTATGCTACCTTTCGGTCTTGTCTTGCGGGCTTTTAAAAACATTTCTATCCGACAACGTTAATTGAAATAGGTGTATATGATTTATCTCATATATTTATCAAGTCCAAAAGACACATAATTTACATACGTACCATAGCCCTTGTTTCCACAGTAACGGAGGTAACAGTTCGGGGTCTTTTTTAACCAATACACGTAGAATGCCCCACAGTTTCGCACACTGATCTCTATGCTCCACTGGCAAGTCTTGCCGCTCCAGTTGAAACAAACATTTCGCTTTACAACTCCGTCATTTTTGTTAGGATGTTGACCATTCATCCAGCCTGGCGCGTGGGTTCCACAATGATTGATCGCTACTGCCGAGGTAGGCATTCTAGTTCCTGCTGCATCCGTGAAGCGGTACCACCCATCGGAAATGTCGTTGCGGTCACACTTGAGTAAGTTTCCTCTGTGTGCACCAGAAGCACGATTAGCCTCGCTGAGTTTGGTGTACTTCGAACATTCGATCGGTTCTGTTAACACCAAAAATGAGACATAACGGCACAAATTACCAAGAGAACATGATGACAAACAACCGGGAACTTTTGTTACTTCAAATGGAAATGGAAATTTCTAATATCTAGTTTGATTTTGCTTTTGACAAAATAGGCCGCGTTCGATATTTAACAATTATCCACCGAAGCGGAGGTAAATATCCACCACTTAACTTTTCACCGGCACTGAGGTGAATAATTGTTTTAGTATATACCACAGAAGTGAATAGCCAGCCCCAAACGGTCATTTTATTTTGTAAAAAATTGGGCAAAAACTCGTGGGAAACCATTTTGTTTTTCTCGGAGGTGAATAGCAAAGGAGTTTGAGTACCAAATCAGAGCGCGCGGAAAGCACTCTTCATTTGTGTTGAATATACTAAAGAACGTTATTCCATAGTATCTTCGGCAATCTTTGAAGACTCCAGCAAATCTTCAGAAAAGTTCATAAATGTTCGCAAACGTCAAAACTCTTCCAAAATTTTCGGAAACGGTCGGAGCCATTCGGCAATCTTCGACAATTTTCGTAAAATTTCAGAAATTGATCAGAAACGAAGCAATCTTCGGAAATTTTCGAAAAACTGACGGAAGTCTTCGGTCAAAGCCATCAATTAAAAAAAAAAAACATGGAATAACCAGTAAATATTCTACCTTGATCACAATTCTTTCCATTAAACCATCGTCCAACACATGTGCATTGGTATCCTCCTCTGTAATTCTTGCAGGCGCCGCCATTTCTACAAGGATTCCTTACTGCGCACTCATCGACATCTGCATGTAAAAACAACCAAGAGAAACTCTTTAAGAATACCACTTCCCATGATATGATTACTCAACAGCATGCACACAAGACCGTGACTGCTTAGCCTCCTTCAGAGCCATTATTTGTGTCGTCGCCCAACGCTTCTCCCCAGTAGCCATGCCAAATTAAACGGCTGCCAAGGAGACTAAAGACTGCTTTGCTTGAAGTCAAACTGATAAGGCAGTTACTAGAAGCTTTAAAATTTAGTTACAGTCGAACCTGCACTAACGGCCACCTCTCTACAACGGCCAGGATTTTTCGTCCCAACCGTACACCGATACATACACTTTACTCTAATTCTAACCACCCTACAACGGCCACCTCTCTACAACGGCCAGTTATTTCGGCCCCAAGGTTGCCGTTGTAGAGAGGTTCAACTGTATTGTTAATCTCTAGCTTTATCGCCTCGTATTTTGGTTTGTCACTGTACTTTTTGTAGCTTAGCGTCGTTGAGGAGTTGAACATGGAACCTGCAAGAACATTTCTAGCTAGTGGCAAGATGGAGGGTTTGAACTCAAGACTCTGGATTACAAGATCAGCGCCTTAAACCACTCGGCCAAGCTGCCTCCTTGTTACTAAAATGATAAGACAACGGATAACACACTCAGTCGATAGTTGATTTTTCTAATACCTTCGTCACAATGTTTTCCTTTGTAGTTTGCAGGACACTGACAGCTGTAACCACCAACAGAGTTAACACATTTGGCTCCATTCTTGCATGGATTGCGCACTTTACACTCATCCACATCTAAACAATAAATAGAAGACACGAAAGAATAAATTGGTTTGCCAAAATGAAGACAGCAAAGCTAGTAAAGTACGAAGCTTTGATTACCATTATTTATATACACTGAATCAACTTCATGTTTCAAAAAGTACCATCTAACGTACCTTGATCACAGTTCTTTCCAGTAAATCTGCTGTCACAAGTGCACTTGTAGCTTCCGTGAGTGTTAGTACACTTGCCTCCATTCTTACAAGGATTGGCGGAACACTCGTTAACATCTAAAAACAATCAGAGGAAATTGTATCATCTTTAAATATGCTTGTTTGTTTGGCTTTGTGTATATCTTTCTTTGCTGTAAACAACATATTCATCCAGACTTAAACAAAAGAAAACACTTAATGGACAATTGATTTTCCAATACCTTCGTCACAATGTTTTCCTTTGTAGTTTGCAGGACACTGACAGCTGTAACCACCAACAGAGTTAACACATTTGGCTCCATTCTTACATGGATTGCGCACTTTGCACTCATCCACATCTAAACAATAAATAAAATGCACAAAAGAGTAAATTGGTTTGGTAATTAAACGTCAACAAAATTATAAAAACATTATGATTTGATCAAAATAATTTACGCTGAATCACCTTCGTGTTTCAAAAAGTACGATCTAATGTACCTTGATCACAGTTCTTTCCAGTAAATCTGCTGTCACAAGTACACCTGTAGCTTCCGTGCGTGTTAGTACACTTGCCTCCATTCTTACAAGGATTAGCGGAACACTCGTTAACATCTATAAAAACAAGAAAAAATAAATTGTTTTCTTTAATTTTGCTAGTTTGTTTGGCTTTAGTATGACTTTCTTGGTTGTGAACAGCATTTTCATCCATACTTAAACAAAATAAAGCACTTAATGGACAATTCATTTTTACAATACCTTCATCACAATGTTTTCCTTTGTAGTTTGCAGGACACTGACAGCTGTAACCACCAACAGAGTTAACACATTTGGCTCCATTCTTGCATGGATTGCGCACTTTGCACTCATCCACATCTAAACAATAAATAAAATGCACAAAAGAGTAAACGTCTACAAAATTATAAAAACATCATTATTATGATTTGATCAGAATAATTTACGCTGAATTATCTTCGTGTTTCAAAAATGGATTGCGCACTTTACACTCATCCACATCTAAGCAATAAATGAAATTCACAAAATAATAACTTGGTTTGATAAAATGAAAAAAAGTCAGCATAACTAGTAAAGCATTAACCATTTATCAGAATAATTTATGCTGAATCATCGTCATGTTACAAAAAGTACGATCTAACGTACCTTGATCACAGTTCTTTCCAGTAAATCTGCTGTCACAAGTGCACTTGTAGTCTCCGTGAGTGTTAGTACACTTGGCTCCATTCTTACAAGGATTGGCAGCACACTCGTTGACATCTAAAATAGATCGTTGAGTTATGATAAGACATGCGAACGAAGCACAGTAATATTTTTTCCTGACATTTGTTTTTTTGACGTTCAGTATCTTGAGTGAAACTTCCCAAAGCAGTTCTAGTTACGAGAGAGAACGGGACGGAAAATGTCTGAATTTGAAGACATAAATGTCAGGTTTCCTGAAAGAACCTACAATCACTGTCATAAGTCGTTGGAACACCCTCCCCTTTTCCCCTGTCCAATGTTGGATAAGGCACTATAAAGCGCGCACTCTTTGTCCAATGTATTTTAGGTTTTAAAACAACATTGGAAGGAGGGAAAGGGAGTGAGACGAGATTAAATGAAGAGGGTACCAACAACGTGTCATAAATTGTAGCTCATTTGTTTGAGAAAAACGTTCGGGCCATTTGTTACTTCACCGTTAAGCCCCTTCCACACGAGCAAGTTTTCACTTGAAAAGGTTTCCTTCCACGTGTGGAAAGGGAAATTTGGCAATTGTTTCCTTGACAAGTGTCCTTGTTCCTTTTTCACACGAGCAAGGAAAAATTATCAAGTGAAAACTTGTCAAGTAAAACTTGCTCGTGTGGAAGGGGCTTTAATTACAATTCTGCTCGTCAGCTAAAATTATTACCCACATCAGTGCTATGACCTAGACACTGATTAAATTAAAGAAGATTTATAGGGCTCCTTGGTGAAGATAATTTTCGAACAACAGCAATCATTCCATCTCATTCCTGGCTCCAAGTGCAGCCATCACGTTCACATGCATAAAATTCTACAGAAATGTTCAGGCTAAAAATATTAAAATTAAAGAATATTATGAAAAAAAAACACAAAACAACGTTTCGACGTCTTCATGCACGTATATGACAGCATTGTCAAGTTCAAATGTAAATTCTTGTAGATGTTATACATATTATCGTAATAACACATAGAGTCAGACTGAGTGTTAAATCTTGGTTTGAGTTCCTGAATGAATAGTATCTCATAAATAAGACAATCAAAGTTAGATGTGCACTTCTTAAGAATCGATAATTGTTTTTCAAGGCGCTAGGTTATGACATTCCATCCGGTGCTTGCCAACAGCAGATCTCTTGTGTTTTTAAACGCGTTGATGTTAGTGTCTTCTTGTAGAGCCGATATTATCAAAGTACATCAAAAAGCGGAGTACATGCACTGGAACTTATAAACAACGCATTGTCAGTCTATATGCTTAATAAATAATTACCTGTGTCGCAGGTCTTTCCTTGGTAATTGGCGGTACACTTGCAAGTGTAACTATCACCACTTGGACTACACGTTGCTCCATTCTTACATGGCTTAATATTGCAACCGTCTGTCAAAGAGCAAAAAAGCAGCATTATCGATCAGATAGGAGACAGAAGTACACGACTGTAGATTATGTTTATTATATGGCTGGCTCCGCAAGCGGACAAGATGAAGTAAATCCTGCGTTGTGATTGGCTAGCGGGATTGCCCGCGACTTTCATGCGAGAGAGTTCATCGTTGACCAAGCTTGTTCAGTCAAGATGTACCGGTTAAAATCCCGGTTAAAAGCCCCTCCGCTTATAGCCCCACCACTCCTCTTATAACTCGTGTTTCTGCCAACCAAACAAATATTCCGGTTTTAAGTCCCCCATCCTTTTCCTTATTTCTTCACCAAAATCCTTACAAAACATTGTACAAATTTAAATGGAAAGTTAGGAAAAACAATCGACTGACTGAAAACGTATATGTAAAATAATTCCGCATGCGAATTAAGCCTTCACTCGTTTGTTTACCTTGTTTCAAACCCCTTTTGATATACCGCTGATAACTCCCCCCCCCCCCCCCGATATAAGCCCCTCCGTTTTTAAGCCCACCCAAAACCCCCTACGAAGTTGTATAATCCTAGAGCTTATAATTAAGCGGGGCTTTTTGCTTTTTGTTTAACAGTTCTTGGTAACTGCAGTTGTAGTTAGGGAAACTTAAAACGTTGCAGAAAACGTTGGCTGCTTGTCAGTGTGGTACAGCGGAACCCCGATATAACAAAGTGGCAAGAGACTGGGACAATTTGTTCGTTATAACCGGGGTGGAATATAATAGGATTAAATGATTCCCATCTCTATTGATTAGTTTCGCATTCAACTCCCTGGAGGCGTGTGATGACATTTATTCGTTATGTCGGGGTGGATTTTTTAAGTTTCATCTTCCGGATTGTGTTCGTTATAACGGGAATTTCGTTATACCGGGGTTCGTTATATCGGGTTCTGTTCCATACATTTTACTGTTACTTTGGCTGGGCTGAAGAATATCATTCTAATTATACTGGGGACTTCATTATAAAGGAGTTCGTTATATCGGGGTTCTATTGGATATGTTTATATCGATGTTTGAAACAAGAAACACCTGTAATAGAATTGACAATATTGCATTGCTGCGGGAAAAGTGTTGGGTGAAGTGTTGTCAGTGGTATTGTCACTCGACCCAATACCATATATAACTCTACATTTAAAAGTGCTGTTGTTAAATACGTGAAGGAAAATCGAAATGATTTAAACTTACTGTGGCCCTTGTTTCCACAGTAACGTAGCCAACAGTGAGGGGTCTTTGGCAAATGATATACGAAGAATTCCCCGCAGTTGCGAACTGTGATATATATGTGCCAGAGGCAATGGTTGCTGTTCCAGTGGAAGCAAACCTTTCTCTTCACCGCTCCATCTCCCTTGTTAGGATGTTGTCCATTCATCCAGCCCGGTGCATGGGTTCCACAATGATGCTTGGGTACTGCTGCAGTAGGCATTCTAGTCCCTGCTGCATCCGTGAAGCGGTACCACTTGGTAACGGCAGGGAAGTCGTTTTTGTCACATTTCAACACGTTTCCCCTGTGTGCACCTGAGGCACGGTTAGCATCGCTGAGTTTGCTGTAGCTGGAACATTCAGCTGGATCTACAAAAAAGAAAGAGTAAGACTGAAATGCCCTGCATGCATTAATGGAAGAAAGTACCGTGTGGCATGAAATGTTTTGCGAGATTTCATTTGCGGATTGGTAAATTTATGTGTATTGCACGATAGCTGATCTATATTTTTACGATTATGCGTAAAAATCATTGAAAGTGAATGGAGAAAGTGTGGAAAAACAGATGCCTTACAGCGAAGAGCGACCTATACCTTAGCCACTCGACAAAGTTTTTGATTAATTTTTGAAAACTTTTTTTTGCAAGAATTGTGGGAGGCAGATATGTCAATTGTCAGAACGCGAACGTGGAGTTTGACCTTTGACTTGCCCTTCCTTTTGAGACTTGCCTTTCATAGTTCTTGAATTTTGATTGATCAGTTGAAACGAAAGCCATCAGAAAGTTGACAAAAAGATGTCAAAAAGTTGTAAAAAATTAATCAAAAGCTTCGTCGA